CACGGCCTGGAGCTGCTGCTGCAGGGCCAGGGTACGCCGCTCCTCCAGCGCCAACTCCTGCTCCAGGCGCTCGCGCGCGCTGTTCATACTCTGCGTGTGCCTCTGCAGCACCGCGTTCTGCTCCTCGAAGGCCACGTTCATCTTCCGCAGGCGCCGCAGCTCCGCCTCCCGCGCTGCAGCCAACCAGCCGGGTCAGACCTGCCGCTTCCTCCCCAGAGCTGTGACAACCCCGCCTCGCCCACCCCCAGGCGCTCAGGCCCTCGGCCATACCTCAGCTCCCCCCCCCCAGGGGTTGAAAAAGGCTCCTCAGCCCTCAGCTTTTAGCGGTAATGCCCCCCCCCAGCCCCAGGGCCCACCCTCTCTCACCACTGGCTTCACCTGCAACCTGTCGTCAGCGCTCACCTTTATTTTGGTCCAAGAACTCTTCAGTGAAGATGGGGACATCGAAGGTGGAGAAGCCCTCGCAGTCCCCACCCTGGGGCGACAGGACGAGGTGGCAATGTTTTTTAGGGTGGGGGAGAGGCTCGGAGGGGCTCTTTGGGCAACTGGGACAGAGTCGGATCAGCTACATTCCTCAGGTGCTCTGCACACAGGGAGGATGGCTCACTTCCTCCCAGGCGCGCTGGTCAGTCACGTCTCTAAAGACCAGCAGCGCAGATCGGTCCTGCCATGGGCCCTCCTTGGGGAAGAGATGCTTACCTTGTGTCCATTCAGGAGGGTATTCATGAGCCCAGGGCCCGAGTCCTCTGGTGGTGGGAGGAGAAGACAGGCTCAGCCTCCCAGTGTCCCCTGACCCCACACTTCACGCACTCTCTCTGCCTGCAGCTCCCTCCTGACTCCCTCCAGGTTAGCCCTACTCATCCTGGTGCGGACTTCTGCCTCCACTCCCCCAGTGAGCACCCAGTATTGGGTGTCCCTCATCTCTGCACTGGTCGGTCCTGTTCACTTACGACTGACTGGCTGCCTATCTCTCATCCCCTCGGAACTGTGAACCCCGTCACGGGGGTGGCTCATCTGCCTGGGTCACGAGTCTCAGAACAGGCATGCGACTACCTTCCTACCTTTCTTGATCTTCTTTTCTTGGATCTTTTCCGTGCACATCTTGTAGGCTTCGGACTGCTGGTACGCCCGCAGCTCCTTCATGTACTGCTGCTTCTCCCTCTCAGCCTCATCCAAGTATCGCTGGCAGGGCAGCAGGAGAAGGCTTGGCCCAGCAGGGGGTAGGGGAGGCCTCCAAGGGCAGGACCCCATCTCCATCACTCCACAAGCTCCCTACTGCTCTTCATGGAACCCCCTTCCTCAGCCTGCACTCAGGCCACCTCCCAGCTCCCTCACCCCAACAGCCTTTACAAACCGCTTCCTGGTGCTTGATGACCACGTTTCCACCTTTAGCACCTGATCTGCTTATTGAACTCTGACTTGATTCGAACTGAGGGTGTTCTGTTAAATTTGTTACTTTTATGATGTTTAGATTACCAGGATTTGAAAATCAAGTTTGTGCATAAAACTCCAGCCTCCATCCCTACTTGGTTAGTTACTTTTATGTCTAATAGGGTAGCTTATTGCTACCCTTCCTTCCATATGAGTGGCCAATTCTCCGGGCAAGAGAAGACCCCACACTAGATCCTTTGGGGAATTTGGCCTCCGGGAGTTGGTGGGAGGTCAGTGGTCCCAGGCTGTCCCACCTGCTTCTCTGCGGGCTGCAGCTTGCTCCACTCAGCACCCAGCATCTTGGTGATCTCAGGAAAGGGCAGGTCCGGGTGGCGCGTGCGAATCTGCTCACGCCGCTCATTCAGGAAGCGCACGTAGCCGGTGACAGGTGCCTTGGGTCCATTTGGCAGGATCTTCTTCCGCTTCTTGCCCTTAGGCCATCCGCGTTTCTTCACCGGCTGCAGGCAGCGCCATTGAGGGGACTCAGAGAGGGGATGGGGCCCAGAGGGGGCATGGGAAGATTTGGGCGCGTCTAGGCGGGAGACAGACCCTGAAAGGCCTGGAGTTCTGGCCTGGTCAGCAGTCAAGACTTGGGGAGGGGTAGGGGAGTCCTGGCTAGGGAAGCATCAGAGGTCCAGGACTGGGTCAGCCCAGGGCTGCGACTGGCTCGCGTTGTGGGCGTGGCTTCCCGGTGTGGGCGTGGCCTTGCTGGGGGAAAGAATCCCGAGACCACCGTCGCACTGCCACCCAGCTGAGCGGTGAACCCGGGCAGTGGGCGGAACTGGCATTCATATAGTACGCGGCTTGACCACAGCGCCCCCCTGTGGTCAGGCCATCAGCTGCCCGTCGAATAACCCCCCACAGGCAGATCCCTTGGGGGCCAGG